GTTCGTGGAGCCACCCCCGCGCGTCCTGATATATCGCCCGTTATAAATCGCCGTCCGGTGAGCCGTGCGCCGCGATTGTATTATAAAACGCCGGTAAATTAATTCCAATTCTGCAATGGGGAAGTCGCTCCACGACTACCGAAACGTGAGATCGAACGGGAATCGACGATACCGGCACGCTAACCGTCGCGGCCCTGCTGGCTGTATCGCGCACGTGTTCGCACATAGACAGGCGGACAGACAGACAGGCACACACGTGCACGTCGTCGCCGAGAGAAAATCGCGCACCCCATACCAACACGCACTGACATTAATTATCTCCGTGTGGATATTGAAATAGGGATTTATAGCCAAGGGAAACTCTCTGCCCCGTATCGTTCCTCGGTCCGTGAAATCCGGCCGTATCTGATCGCCGCACAGAACATGCCGGAGAATTCTGGCTTTAATTCGATTTCCCAGCGCGGTTTGCGCCGGAGATACACGAAGCAGCGCGATGATACCGGGGCTTTCGCGGCGCCCGCACGATATCACAGCCTCGCGTATGGCAAAGCTGATAATTTGTAATAGAAAAGCGATAGAGGACTGCGCGCTGGTCGAGCGTATTGTGCTCGACTCTTTCTAACATGCAAATTTTCATCTGTCGCGAACCCGATAAAGTAACAGTCACCTACGTCCCCGTGGAAATGCACTTCACCAGAAAATTGCTCGGCACTGCCACAAGTTCACACATTGTTGTCTGCGCAAGTTGCGCCTCACTACATCGGGAGAAATATCTTTTCACTGCTAAGAAAAGCGATTATTCAGCTTGCTTTCCTTCTCCTAAGTTATGGTTATCTTCAACAAAGAATATTTTCTTGATAATAGTCTCAAAATATACTCGTTACAAATTCTAAAAAAGCTCATTATAATCTATTGAAAAAAGAGAATTTATATATTCTCCTTATATAAGATATTATAAAATTTTACGAACAAAGAAGTTAATGTGAGTCTATATAGTAAACAAACTGGATTTTTCTTCTAATTTACTATTTTTTTACTGCAATGCTAAATTTACTAAGATTCAGAATATGTTTTGAACAAATTTGATACTTGTAATAAATTTACATACCTACAAATTTATTATAAGCATCAAATTTGTTCAAAACACATTATAAATCTTAGTAAGTTTAGCATTCCAATAAAAAATAGTAAATTAGAAGAAAAATCCGGTTTGTATATATATAGGCTTCAACTACCGCTTATTTTTTGAGCGAATTACAATAATATTTAATTTGAATTATTATGTAACGGGCAATTTGTGGATTTTAATATCGTAAAGTTTGAAAAAAGCTATTCATGTCGCTCGGGAATTATCGAGAAACCATTCAGATTTTCATGATTTTCACGACACGAGACAATCGATGATGGAAATTTTATAATTTGTTAATTGCATTTATAGAGAAAAATATGCTGTATTGAATTGATCGTTAAATTTACGTCGTACAAATTGATGCGACAACAAATTTATTAACGTTTATTCTCAGGGTTTTATGTTACATTTGTATATTTAATATAATGCTTTTAATATAAATTATTAATATAAATTTTGGTAATTTTTTTCTTTTTCGTCGTTCTGTGAGTGCCACATGAAGCACTCATGAGAGACGCAATCTTACACATGACACGATGTAAGACGAGTAAACAGTTGCTGCCAAATTTAAACGCATCTGTCTATCCGGGCAGGTTGATCGCTCGCGATCAGGGCTCTATCGTGAAACTGGTAGATCTGCCCGAGTGATCGGCGGTGTATATGTGTATGTGGAAGTGCGAGCGAACGAAATGTCACGGGATTCGGAATAGACACGGAAATTGCATCGATCACGCGCGCGATATCGACCGAACGACTCGCAGTCGTGCGCATTGCGACGATCTTTTAACGCCACCGTTCGAGAAAGCCGCTCGTAAAAGGGTGGCAGCTTGCGCGCAAGTCGCGTCGTTGAAAAACGTTTATGCCCTTCTACAGCTTTAATTTCTGCCCTGTCGGAATGACATTAAGGCGCGTTTGACGTGGGGCGCGCCGCGTTCGTATTACAAGTGCTTAATTAACTTTACTACTCTCGCGAGCTCGTAACGTTTGCAGTTCGCGTGGAAGACCCAATTAAAATCCGGCGCGACCTATGGACGAATACGCGAAATATATGTATACGTCTGGCATCCTGATAGGAAACACGAGTCGTTCACGTCTAAAGTCGTGATCGTCCAGAAATGAAAGACTCTCGACGAGAACCGGCGTGTTATATCGATTGTGTTTTTCGTAGAGAGGAAGCGTACAAATCCTCTTATAATCCCTCTTTACTTAGCAAAATCGAAATCTAATTCTGTTCGATAGGATTATCAAGTTGTAGCAAATTATTGAGCTCAAAGTGTCTCTCTCCTCACTGGTGAATGAAAGAGAGCGGGAGAAAGAGAGAGCTTATCACGCTTCGATTCGTGCGCTAAGAAAAACCGTCTGTCGATTTTGGATAATCCCGCGTAATCTGATTGCGAGTTAAAAGCGGCGCGAGTCGAAGTTAGAAGCGCCAAAATGGCCGGGAGAAGATATTCACTGCGAATAGAGGATTTACGCGAGGGGCCCGTTACGATTGCGAAATAAACGTCGACAATTAGGGACGCGCGGGACGATTGATCGTATACGATCACTTTCATTTGTAACTCTCAAGCACAGGTCGCGATTTATCGCACGGCAAGAGCTCGATCGGTATCTGAAGAAGGTACAAGAAAGTAAATCTTTCATCTATCGGAAGAATGCGTTGAAAGAGAGCGCGCGCGGTGATTCGGCATTTTGTTCGAACCAATAACGTCGAGCGAGCATTCTTCTTTGCGGCGCAGCCGGCTGTTCTCCACTCCGGAGACTTCTCCCCGCCGCTTCCGCTCTCGATTTATCCGGCTAATTTTGCGAATTAATGGCCCCCGCTGTCGGAGCCGGCAAATTACATTGTTTAAATGCCCCTTCGTCAAGCTGCCTCGCCGCATCGATTCTTTCCACGCGAATCAGCCCGCAACGTTATCTCGATTTCTCGAGGATGGAAATCTCGGCCAATTACTCCCTCGACGTTGTAATTTCCGTCGCTCATTTCGCCCGTGCGCACAAATTTATGCACGACGGCACGCGGTGCGTCTCCTTTTTTTTTTAGATCTCTATCAGTTGGCAGCGGCGTCGGTGCATCTCGGAAAATGTGGAGATACACTCCCGGCACGAAGTCGTGTCGAAATTCACGGTAGTGAAAGTCGGCCACTCGACTCTGCTCCATCGTTGTAAATGCGTTGATTAAATCGCGACAAATCGTACAATCGCATTGTCCTGGGAAAATGGAGAAGAGAAAGATTGAGGAAGCGATAATATTTAAGAATTAAATTGAGGAGAAGTACAGGAATGCTCGAAAAAAAAGTGCGTTTATTGTGTCCGCGGAAAGTAGGTTAATGCAGAAATTGAAGTAATAACGCGCGCGCCGCGAATTCAAGAAGCGCAATATTGCATCTTCGATAAAAGCCTTAACTTTCTTGGAGACAGCGGCGCAATTTTTGTGCCATTTCGTGAAAATTGTCGGGAGCGAATTGTTACAATGCGCCTCTAATATTCTTCGCGAGCGCACAAATTGTTTTATCGAACAAAGCGAGGCGCGGAAGCATCTAGGTAGGACTTATCGTCGCCATTGTGACAGAAAATCATTTCAGTTAAAAGTCAGGCGAGAAGAACCTCCGTGACCAAATTAACGCTGGCAATTAAATTACATTTTCAGTTGTAGTTATTTCAGACGGTACGCTGATGCGTAACAAATGTAACGCTGTAATTACGTTATAATTCCCGATATATATACTCCTCTTCCTTTGCACTCAGGATTTCGCGTAAATTCTGTTAACATCCTACAATTCTCTAACCGGCATATTGAAATATTTACGGAGGAGAAAGGTACACAATCCGTATATCTGGTAAAAAATATTTATTCGAAAAATACGTATTTTTTTAACTTTTTCTTCTTTCTCTCCTCTTCTCTGGCCAGAATGAAGTTGTTATTATTATCATCATCCGAAAAAAAATTTTGCACAACAAGAAACGCTCCTTCTTTCACGCGAAGAACGATAATTGTCATCTCGTAAAATCCGCGATTTCCTAAATCGGAAGCGTGAAACGATTTCTGCGGTATACAAGAGAGTATCGTTGACGTGCCTCTGCCGGCGGATGTAGGCGAGAAAAATCAATGAGTTCCGGACGGAGAAATGGAGACAATTTCAAGCGGTGTGTGCGCGCGTCGCGTGTTTGAAATTACCTTCCCCATCGACGCGGTAATCATTCTACCCGCTTTAAGCGTTCTCCTCGCGAAGTCGCCCTACATACGTCCGTCGCCCTTAATATTTTATCGACGGCATTCCGGTTTCTCGCGCAGAAAACAGATAGATGGGGAATTGCAATAGAAGTGCATTGTCATGAAGTGGCACGGCGGACGCAGCGGTGGAGGAGAGGGGGGAGGGCACAGCAGGGTCGCATCCGAGGATTGCACAGCAAAAGGGGCACGAAAGAGTCGAAGGGGATATCTTGTCCTCGTGTTCGAGCATCATCGACCTCGCGCGTCTTTCTAAAAGGTGATACGACACGCCGGGTCGACCGCAATCAAGTTTCGAGATATCGATGAACCATACGCGGCTCTATCTACGTAAATATAGTACATTCGAAGTGTACGTACGTTCGCGCGATATTCCCCACGTAAAGTGGTTGAAAGCGAGAACTTAAGTTTCTATCTTAAACACGTTATCCGAAGGTAGCCTTATTAAGTAATCCCGAATGTAAAAAGCAACGGAAAAATCGTTTTTCTTCCTTTCACGTCGACAGCAAACAACGTCAATTTGACTACGCAGTGTCTCACGATATGCGATCGCTTCCGTAACCTACTCAATTAGCTAAGTAGGTGTCGAATGACGTAACCATCGCGTTGATTATGGAACATTATCTTAAGAGGACTCACCGAGGGTGGCAGGAGCCGCTGGGGGAATCCATTACGTACCTGTAAGAAAAAAAAGACATTTTAGTCTGAGGAAACGATCGTGTTGCACGTGAAAACGCGAGGAAACAAAATAGCGATCGCTCGTGGCGCTAAATCGGCAGGGCGCTTCGCTGCGTGCGCGTAAACGTAAGGCAGGCGATGTAATTAATTTGCAGTTCTCCGTGACGTTTTCACGGAGGGCGCGCGATATGCCGATTGGAACAAACGTCACGCAAATGAAGCTGCGTTATTTGATTCCCGGACAAGGACACATCGTTGACTCGCTGATTAATTTGCTCGTCACGAGAAGATTAATTTATCGCGCACGTCGGGGGAACATTTTAATCTTTCTCAGGTCCTTACACACCCTTCAAATGTATTTCGGACCGTCACGATATTCGAGGCACAACGGCACGAGTCGCCAAGTTCGCGAATCCGTGAGATCGTTCGAGCACGATCGGCACTAATCGCCGCGATTACCGATTACGACGCTAATGGAATCGTTTAGGGACGAGTTCAAATCGGGCAAGTGGCTCCGAGAGCTTTTACAGAAAACGAGAATGGCGGCGCGCCGGGCGTGTGTGTGCTTATACCGTGTACACGCGCGCGACGAGTCGCTCGCATACATCAGTCCGCAAGTGGATCTTGAAATATGCAACGGACTATCATAGTCATATACCACTCGCGAGCTCAAATCCTGCGACTCACTCACTCTCTCTGCCGCCCGCCATCGGTCTTCGCCAGGATTCGCGCACGCTCTCTCTTTCTCTTTTTCACACACACACACGTGCGCTCGCGCGCGTGCACTCACGTCGCGCGTACAATGGCCGGAAAAAAGTGAACCAGCATCCGAAAGATGATGCCACGTTAAAATGGCACCGGTATCATCCCGGCAATATGAGACGTGTATTCGCGTGTAAACGTAGAAAACTGGTGCGTCCGCGTTATTGCGCGTGTGCGCTATTTATAAAACTCGAAATGATAAAAATCTTTTCTATTTTTTATTTTTGACGAAACATCGCGACTTTCTTTCGTCGAATGCGACGGATTTCTCGCAACTCCTTTATCACGACCAAGCGCCTTGTCGTCTCAACTGTGTCTAGCCGAGTCGGAATTTTGATCTTACTTTCGACCTTAGTTTTCCATTTAACGTCTACTTTGGTGCTCTCAAACCTATATCACCCTCCTTTAATTTTACTTAACCTACCAATTTTGCTCTTTAGAACCTAAAAGGCATTTCGTGTGTTTTTCTCCACTTAGAAGCGCTAAGTAGAATTTCAGTCTCCATGTGTATTAAACATACACTGATCCTTTACACAGGTGTGAGAAAGTTCAAAGTAAGACTGAAACAAATTTTCTGAAAAACAGAACAGAAAATTCCACTTGTAAAGTTCTAAAGAGGAACTCTCGGTTTTATTATCAAGGTAAACGTTAAATGGAGTATTGGGGTGCAAAGTACCTCAAAAGATGAACATTTCGACTCGGAACGCGCAAGACAGAATATAAGAAAGCGGAAAACTAATCTGACACGTTACCATAGCGAAACGCACGAAACAATTGCGCGCGACCGAGAGCGGTGGACTACTCGGTAAAGATTAATGCGAAATTACACGCTAACGAGTAACATCGGAGCCGATATCGGTGACTCACTATGCGCCTGGAACCCGCCCAACTGTGTCGGGCATCGCGCGTAGCTATCTGCATGTACTGATATACTCGTGTGCGATGCAATATCTCTATCAAAGCTTCCCGGAGGCATTAATTTCGCCATCGACTCGTCAGACGTCAATGGGAGGTAACGTTTAATCTGAGTCAAGTTGATGCCGCTACCGTTTGTCGACAATCACCATTGTCGACCTACATCGAGAAAGGACATCACCACCATCGTTCGCCGAAACGACACTAATCTGCGTTATCGATCATCGGGTCGCGTGCAAGCTCACCCTCCTCATTCCCCTCCTCCGCGTATGTTTTTATTTTTATCTCATTTGGCCTCTTCTCGAAACTTCGAGAGAGTGAAACGCGCGTTAAACGATTAAATATACAGTCCCCGTTATTCGTGAGTGCTCGTGTACACGTGCGTCGCACAAATAGCATGCGAGATCGCGTATCTTAATTCGAAGATCGATTCGAAGATGCTGCGCAGTTTCTCACCGTGGGGAGACACGAAGTGACGGGATAACGGAACCCGATCCGAGTGCATTCCGTTATCGGGCAGACGCTCTGAAATTACACTAAGAGGTCGTTAATCCGATTATCCGACTCGCTTTGACATGCACGCGCGCGCGCGCGGAACCACATCCGGCGAGGACGAACGACGGCTGCGTTAATGCGATAAAGAATGCGTTCCTCGCTGTCCTCGGTACGACCGATCCGCTAATAAGACCGGAGGCGCACTTGCGAGAAGGCTACCTTTGTTCCCGGCGAAGGTGACGTCGGAAAACGGTCCGGTTTCTAACGAACGTGCCGTGCCGGTGAGGGAAATCATCGTCGTTCGATGACGTAAACGAGCGCGAGGAAAAAAAAGCGAGCTCTCCGTCACCAGCTCAGCGAATGTGTGGGACTTTAGTCGAGAAAATTGTCTTCACACTTCGCAGGTTCATGCGCGTCAACCCGTCCCCAAGTCTCAAGAGTGAAAATGTGATACAGTTGGCGAGGAGAATGCACGAAATCCGACTTTATCTCATAGTCTTGATCAGGTTGATTCCAATCCATAATTTATGTATGGGCCAACCATACTGTTTTTCCCATATAAATTCTTTTGATTCTATTTAATTAACTTTGTCGAGAAGTCTTTTTAGACTTTTTTAGGATCTGCAAATGGCATTTTTTGCCACTTACAGGCGATAAATAGTACAGCAGTTTTCATGTACATTAAACATACACTGATCCTTTAGGATGTGCAGAAAATTCAGGTCGCGAGCAGAATCAAAATTTCGACTCGGAAACGCAGGGTGGCAGGATTGTATTAGCAATAAGAATTATTAATAATTAGTAGCTTGTTTGTAATCTGGATTCGATAATATTATTATCTTGTATAAAATTAGATAACTGATTGGGATCAATCTGATCAGGAGCGTGGGATAAATTTCTAGTAGGGAAAGAATAAGCAAAGGAGATGAATAAGGAAGCTTGAAAGTTCCCGAGAGAATTATAAACGGGTACACTCAGAATACTGAGTTACATACGGGAATCTTTGAAATGAGTAATGTTCGTGGATAGCACGCGTTATCGCGGTGGGGCTTAAGTTGGTTTTAAAAGTAATGGGGCATTAGCCAGGAAGTCGCGAGCGCAAACGTAATTCAGCATGCGATACGAACGGTATTCGAAATTTACGCACATACCAGCAATAACGTAATGCATCTGTTGCACGGGATGCATTCTTCATCTCATTCGACTCGCCCTCTCCGCGTTCGCGAATGCATTTTCCATGCAGAATCGGACGCGGCCAAGTTACATCCACAATAAATCACCGCAGAATGAAATCCGAAATTTACGAATCGCGCATCAAAATTCCATATAAATGTACGTTTCCCGTGCGCTGGCGTTCCCTTTCTCTCTCTCATTTTCCGCTGCGTTGGACTATTCGATTTTAGAGAGTGACTTTCGCGTCTCGAATACGATATACGTCACGCAGCATTTTTACGTCAAACATATTTTAATTAATTGACTCCGAGAGAGAAAAGCAATATCAAGCAACTACGATAAGTGAGCAACTTTGTGTTCAACGACTTTAACTTGAGTCAAAATTTAGAATCTGCTACAAATCTCGAAAGCTTAAAGTCATCTTTTAATGCTCCTTGCGCTATCCGGCACGTTAATGTAATTCTGTTAGGTAAATCGGATTTTTATTTCGCTTTGTCTGTTTTTATCGTGTTGATTCTTTTAAATACCTTTTGTTTCTTGACATTTTTCTTAAGAGTTTATAATACTTTGTTTAAAATGTAATATAAGGCTCAGTTACAAAAACAGTATGCAACGTGCGACAATATTAGAACAATTGACAAGAAATGTAAACACTCACACTCTCATACGCACACATATTTTTCTCATTGTCAATTCTATTGTCGTTCATGAATGAACACCTGGCGATCAAAGCGAAGCTTATCTGATTATATGACGTACAAAGTGTCTCATCTTTGTCGAGGAATAATCAAACAATGAATCAAAATAATCTTTATTAAATAGGAATCGAAGACTTTTTCGCGTCTACCTTAAGGGGATGTTGCATTCAAAATGGTTATCGATAGAATACTAAATTTCTTCTGCAAAGTTTACGTTATATACAGAATATAAAAGTTGATATTTCGAGTGTAAATTATCCTGTCAGTTACAATAAATACACATCAGTAAATATACAGTAAATATACATCTGATAGTAAAGATCTGTAGCTTGTATATACTGAAGGCACACACCACAAGTTTACTCTGCTCAGAAAGAATATTGCCGTACCTTACCTATTTGAATTTAGAAACTGAAAAATATCGGAACAGCGTGGAAAAAGATTTCTATATATTAGTAATAGGTTAGGTTAGATTTCTCGCTAAATGTATGGCAACACACATTTACGTAAGATTTATATGTACAAGAAATACGAGAAGGATAGCGTTATTGTGTCAGTGACAATCGTCTCTGCGTTATCGACATTTTTGCAGTTCGCCATCGACTCCAGCATCCCCTTCAATGGGCTGAACATATCACCGGTGATACATTGTAGACATAATGGAAATATTAAAATTCCGTCTCCATCGTTCCACCACATCTCAATAAGGAATATCTCAAGTTCCTGCGACGAGGGCGCGATTTACGTTTATATTGCTCACATAATTCGACGCGTTTCAACGGCGAAGATGCCAAAAGATTATATCGTGCATCGAAAACATCAAGTGGGCATCCCCGTCCGTTCGACACCCTCGCTAAAACGCGAAGTTCATTTTTCCTGCGCGGAGAAATGCGGGGACCGGCGAAGAAGCGACCGTACTGGAAGATCAGACGATCCTCTCGCGGTGGCGCGCGCGGA